TTTCTATTACGTAATAATATTGTCTATTACGTAATATATATATTCTCTGTTTTTCACAATAAAAGGGGAGATTCGTTTATTCTATTTTACGTATGACCACGATACGTGACAATAGTGAATGTAAGTTTTAAGCTCAAGGTTTGGCGGCTCCCCTCCCCTTACAGACCATAGCAACGAAAGAGAACATTACAGACAGACACCCTCCATTACAGACCTTCACAATCAATAATAAAAAGTGTTTCATTTTTTCGAGTTTTTCTTTGGAAAATTGATTCAGTTATAATTTTGAAAAATAATGAATATCATTATTTGTGACTTGAATAATATATATGATAGTGTGTAAGGTCTGCTGTAGATATCATAGGTATGTAAAACACACTTATTTGTTAAGCAATTCAATGATTATAATAATAAGAATGATAAATTAAGAAAAACGAATTAAAAAAAATAAAAAAGTAATGAGCGAATAGCAACAGTGCAAATAAAAAAAAGGGCATCCATAGAAAAAAGTTTAAAAAACATTCTGTTCGAAATTAGAGAGATTCTTACTCTTGCAATTGATTTTCCTGCAAAACAACTATAGTCTAAGAGAGATTTTTCAGTTTACGCATTTTGTATCAGTTGAGTGAGGCTAGAGAGCATATGTGAGTTCCACATTTCAGCCCCAAAGGGGCTGCGCTAACAAGCTTTTTTAAACAGCAAAAGTTTATTTAATAAAGAAATATGACCAGAAAAAACACTGTTTGAAAAGATTAAAAATTTCAGTACCATTGTTGCAGACGATACTAGACAATTCATTATTTTTCAGATGAAGTAATCTTATATATTAATATCGTTTCTCCTAACCAAGTTTAGACCTATACTTATGATGTCAACTAAATTGTTCATAGTTCAGAATAGAATGATTACTATAAATCTATACAATGAACTTCTTCGTTCATTATCGTGCAATATGTCCGGTCAAAGATTTAATATCTGCTTTAAAATCTTCTTCCCAATAATATAAAAACTACCGTAGAACAGAATCAATTATTTAAATTCTATTTCTTTTATTTTCATATTATGATTTCATCCAGGGTTATCATATCCATAAAATATAGAGTGCAATCGAGAATTGATGCAGTAATTTGTTACTTATCACGATTGAAACATATTTTAACTTTTTGATTACGTTTCTTTTTATTTAAATGATTTATCTAAGACTAATATTTACTGAGAAGAAAAATATGAATCCAAGTTTTCTAAACAAACAAATCTCTCACTTGTAATTCCAGATTTTATTTAAGTACAAATGGCACGTGTTCTATCATTAGTAAAATTATTTGTCACAGCTTGTAATGTTTCATATCTAATTTTTAGACTTGCCAAAACAAGGTAAACAAGTGATTCTCTCAGAAAGAAACTGTATAACATAGTCACTGTGTGTATATATGAGATGGACTTGTCGACAAATGATGTTGCTTATTTTTTGTGATTGAGAATTTCATATGATTAATTTTTGAAGAAAAGGAAAGTCTTAAGAGATAATTTTGAATAATTCATGTTCAAATGGACGTCTACCATGCATTAATAATATTCAAACTTTATCGAATTTACCACCTTGAAAACAACTACTCATAAATAATAATTCGGAGAATTGATATGAAAGAGAATAAAAATGACAGTTGCCTATATTATTTATAAGTCTTTCATCAGCACATGTATCAATTGATTGAAATCCTCTGTTGATGAAACTATTCCGAACGTCATTAGTCGATGGAAGATCAATTCCAATACAGCTATTAATAATGTTAGTATACATATTGAAAATAAATTTATTTAATCGTGGCATATAGTTAAGAACTTCATCGTATAATTGATTACCACCAATATAAGTTGATTCGAATCTTATTACTGAAAGTTGTAACGCTAATTCTTCAAGATTTAACATTCGACGAAGTAATGGAACAATCCCCTTACGATAAAAATATGTATACCGGCGTGTTGTTAATGAGAAACCTTTCAATTTGAGCGGTTTTTGCTAAAGAAAATGAGACAATCAGTAAATTTCCAAGACAAAATTGTTTATATTCAATGATCGCACTTATACTTACTGTATTATCTATATTCGATGATAAAAGGAGAGTTCTTGTGATATGGATGATCAACGTTGATAAAGTTTGGAGACATCCATTAAGAAGCTGAAGACAATCATTAAAAGTATCTACATTTATTGTTAACTTAGTGAGAATTGAAGATAAGAAACTTCCGTGTGGAATATTCCAAGACGAAAATGTTAGATAAGTTCTTGACGATTGTTCAGAAAAGGTCAAATCAATTCAATATTTACCGAATCATAGGATCAATATAAATATTTTTGGTTCATTTTCATTAGGTATTTCTTGTCTCCATAGCAATATAGGTAGTTAGATTGGGTAATTTGATCACTAACAAGACGATATATTATAGCATCTTAAATGTAAACAAAAATATCACATCAGTGGCTGATAGAAATCAGCGGGGTCAAACTATTTAGCCTCGAGACCCGAAAATATTTTTTATTTCTCCCCGGTCCCGACCCCGACCCCGAGGAATTTTTTTCGGGGTCCCCGACTCTGAAGAGCCCCGATTTTTTCTCACAAATAGCTGACATCTAATATGCGCGGCATTCTGTTGACGAAGAAATTTAGACAAGTTTTGATTGCTAGACAGTCTAACATAATCAATTGTGAAAAAAACAGGGTATTCTCTTCTGTCCTTTCTCTCGTTTCCTTCTCTTCGTTTGTGTATAAAACGAAAGGATGATTTTAAAGTTGTTAACACGAAAAGAACTCGGGGATCCTTATAAAGAAAACGAGATGATTCTGTTAAATGTGTGGATGCGGGTGATGGTAGGTGAGGGTGTGGCGTGAGTGGAGTATGGGTACGGGCGTCGATGTGGTGTGTGGTCAGCCTTCTGTACAACTAGGAGTGCATCCAGTCGGCTCAGAGCACCCACAATCACATCCATTCACATCCTCTTCTTCTGAGTTTCTATTGTCTTTTTAGTGAACCTTTGAATTCTGACGATCAGATACCTTTGTCTTTCTTTTTCGCCTGTTTACTCTTTAATTAACTGTGAAAATAAATAAATCTGTATTACAGAAAAACAAAAAATATTTTTCGGGGAGTATCTTTAAAAATTCGGGACTCCCGACCCCGAAAACCTTTTTCAGCCCCGATCCCCGCTGATCTCTAGTGGCTGATGAAATCAAATATAGTTCATGATCATACTTGATAAATGTCGTAAGAATATATCTGATTGAAAATTGATCAATAATAATGAGCAGCACCAAGAATATGTTCTATAGAAAACGGATCAACAGTGAGTTTAGTTACTTTCTCATTAATTCGAGGCAAAATTTTCGAACAAATTTTATCAAGAACATCAGCATCTACCAATGAAGAGAACATATCGGCCGTATACAATTTATTGAAAATAATACATAATATTTCATCTGGTAGATCGAGTATATTAATGTCGTTATTTTTTAATATATTCATGTCTAATGATAATTTTTCACTTCAATCATTCTCATCTTCTGTTAATGTATATATATATAATATGTTATTTTTCTTTCTTAAGTACTGTGATGTTTAGATTAAGTTGAAATAAAACACTCAAAAGATTTGAAATATATTCCCCATGGCGTAAATTTCTGCGAAAAAGACGCGTTCTGAAAACGTGTTTTTCCACAGCTGCGAAACGCATTAATGCTGGCCGGTTGAACGCAGTTCACATCTGCTAAAACAACCGCTGTGAAACGACCATTTCTTTAAAGCATTTCGTAGCCTTTCTCAAACTGTGGTATCGTATATTCTTGATTTAAAAAACTGAAAACTATCAAATACTTCGTAGAACTTGAGTTGCAGATACAATCCATGTACTCGTTTACATTTTTTCATGGAACTTTACAACTATAACTTACATAGATTTTGATAAAGTTAAGACGTGGATTCGAACACAAGAACATAACAGTAGAAGACATGTGTACAAACCATTCAACTTAAATAGTCGAATGATATCAGTGTTTATTCTACCGCCATTCAGAGTCTCGCGTAAACTTACTATTCAAGTAGATTTTCGGTTTCACATTCCAATGAATGAAAAATTACTATTTTCCTTGGTGCCTATATCTAATTACGAGTGTGATCTCCTCTTGATATATTTTTTATTTTAACTCTTTCAAATTTAAGGGTACCCCCCCGTCTTTTTCGACCAAAAACTCGATTTTGAGATGAGTATAATATACCATAGCCTCAAGTATTGTGTACAATTAGGCACATTACCCGGCTCTAAATACCTTACTATTACAGAGTTACTGAATTAAAGAAACTTTTTCTTTTCCTTAGCGTATCGCAAAACCACAATTTTCTCAATCTTGGTTGCTAACGATCCCCTTCTAATTTTGTTCGATGGGACTGAAATTTTTACCACTGATACTTGGAAGTGTTCTCCAGAGGTAAAATGGAGTGTTTTCATTTTTGACATTCCTGCCCAGATTTACAGGGTCCTGAAGACTAAGACCTAAGCTTTGGTTCCGAACCTTGGTGTATTTCTCTTATAAAAAAAAAAGAAAGTGAGATTTTTGAAAAAGCTTAAATTTACCTCTGAGAAATAGTCTTAGGAACCTCAAAAAAAATTTTCAGTCCAATCGGATAAGG